AAAAGGTAAGATGGCTTAAACTTACTTTATTACGACAAGTTGTTTTTGTTTAAACTGGCGTCTCATATATCAGCTCCTTACTATGCTAACACCGTAACAAGAAATAAAAACAAGACAAAAAATGAACTTTATTACGATTTCAAAAGCGCTATGGAAACATGACGTACTGAGAAAAAGAACATAGTGGTTGCCTTAGTAACACAATGTTTATTCAGTTCTTCTCTCGCTTTATCGCGACCAGTCGTGTATTTTACTGCGGATAGAAGTTTGCAAATCGTGTATCGATTATTCGGAAAGTTTAATTTTTCTGCAACCCAAGATGGGTTGTGGAGCATCTAAAGCGGGTCCTTGTGCTTTCGTTCAAGTTCCCTGCAACGGTAAGGCAAGGGAAAAGACTTAAAGCTTTTTTTTTAAACTGCTCGAGGTTTTTTGGGCGTCTTCCACTTAATGCAAGCTTGTGTCGTACATGTAAGCTTACCACTTCCGATGAAGACTTCAGACTTTTTCATTCACAATTAACATAATCAAAATTGCTTAATCAATGTGAAAGTTGGTCTTTTCAAGTGGAAAGAGAGTATTTTTTTTTCTTACATCAGAAAAGCATCAAAATACGCCCGAAAGAAGACAAGACATATATTTGTTTTTACCACAGTTTTGAAGTTCAACAAAGATTCAGACGCCGAGTAAAAAATTTCCGAGTAAAGAAACACAGAAAAAGATAAAAACTGTGATTTGTGTTCTCTAGGTTTTCTGTAAGTATTAGCCTCATAAAGTATTTCTTGCTTTACAGGTAAAAGTCCAAGCAGGTTGAACAGCACAACTGCGAAAAACAGGAAAGCGTGTAAACCCTTCCCAAAAACAACCAAGGCAGCAGAGTTAAGAAGACAAGCCAATGAAGCTAAACTTAGTAAGTTAAACAAAACAGTTGCTCATTTAACTCCTAACAACTATTTAGTTTTTTGTAATTTTTTAGATAAACGAGAAACTTTTCGCAATACTTTTATATTTGTGTATGAAATATATCGTCATGTTAATTTATTTGTATAAGTTTCCTTGCCTTATTCTTCTCTGGGTTATAATTTCAAATTCTGGCTAACAGAATCTCCGGTTAATTTTCGTAATATTTTAAACTCATTGCTGCCATTCTGCAACCCTTTAGAACTGATTTCAATCACTTTCTGATTAAATCAAGCCCATGGGCTATGGTTGATTTTGTATTTTAACGTGAGGAAAAGTGAACCTATTTACACAGGTTTCAGCTCAGATGCTATATTGGTCTCAAAAAAGACAAACTTTGGTATAAATATGAGAAACTCTATGTGCTACTGAAGCAAAAGCTTTCTTGTATTGGTATTAGTCTTAAGATGAACATCAGGGGTGGTAGTGGGGTGACAATATACTACAGGATCCTCTATCCAGAGTCAAACCGTAAATCCGTAAAACCCGATACTGAAATTAATATTATGAAGTTATGAATATATGAAAAATCATATATGTGAACTGCTGAGTGGAGAATTATATGAAGGAAGATCATCACAGTTATATACGCAACTTTTGAAGTTGCGAAAAGAAAGCCTGAAAAAAATTCAGGCTTGTACGCTGCACAGGTATCGCAGAGGTCAAGGGTTCGAATCCCGTACAAGCCTGAATTTTTTTCAGGCTTTCATTTCGCAACTGCAAAAGTTGCGTATATAACTGCGATGATCTTCCTTCATATAAGAAATTCATATTCTTACGTAAAATTTGACAACATACTATCTACCCTGGGAGCAAGTTAAAAAAGATAAAGGCGCACTTGAGCCAAAGGCCCAAACGGCCGGGGCTTATCCCAGTTTTCTTAGCATGAAACATGCCCAGAAGAACTGCTACTTCCCCCTGGAAGGGATGCTAGTCCATCGCAGGGTTTCTCCCCGGCAGTATGTTACCGGCCCATTTATACACCTGGGTGAAGAGAGACAAAGTGGATTAAAGTTCCTTGTCTAAGGAAAGAACGCTACGGACAAGGCGTGAATCCCGCACCTCCAGATCCGGATTTCGAGGAGCTAACATACCCTAAATATATACCCTTTTTATGTTATTTTGATATCAGTATACCCTGAAATACTGTTAACAAAATACCATATAAAAGGGTCGTAAAATATTCCAGTGATACAACATGCTTATACTGGAATTTACTAAAGTCAACTAAACCTACATATCATTAAAAATATTGCCGAACAATATTAACAAACGCTTTAGATTGCCGTCGGTTGCATCCAAGCGTGGACACGAGACAAAAAAAAACACGTTCTAATAGGGTACCAGACATGACATGTTTTACAGTCAAACATTTGAGGTTTGACAGCCGTTAAAGCAAACTTTCGCGCCAAAGGTAAGTTTTTGTTTTTGTTTTTGATTAGCGCGTTCCGCTCATGTTTCATTTTTCTCAACTTTCAGGCATATTTCTCGCTCAGAAACAACACACTTGCCTCCAGAAATTATTCTTAACGTCTAAAAATTCTTGCAAAGAAAATTTTGTTGAGCGAAAACAAATCAAGGCGAAAATAGCCGCTACTTCAAACTTCGAATGTTTGTTGGCATAACATGTCATGCTCGCACCAAGAACATGTTTTTTCCTCACGTGTACACGCTTAGATGCAACCGACGGTATTTTTTTTTTTTAGTTCAGAAGAGTTAAGTTTATTATATTTAACTTAGTTTACTTTAGTTTGGTTCCATATTATGCACTTTTCATTATTAAATGTAATTTTTTAGTATGAATTATGTTTATGCCATTTTTTTTTTCAAGAAAACTCTAACGGGCTGAATTCAAGTACCTCACTAAGGCAAACTGCGTCTAAAACCTCACGAAGTAAACGCACAACAAGTCAGGTTTCAAAGAAGGTAACATCCAGTCCAAGATCACCTCAACCAAAGGACATCCGACCGAGCAGCGCCACAACGACTAAACCACAGAAGCGCCATCTTGCCTCAAACGTGCCCCTGTCATGTTCTCAACAACTTCAGGGGAAAACATCAACAACTACTACTGAGGCGCGAACAGCAAGTTGCCAGTCTGTGAAAAGTCTGGAATCAAGTGGATTGTCCAAGACAGCAAAGAACAATGCTCCTAACACCAAAAGTAAGGCAAATATTACTACTGTGACAGGACCAGCAAATTCCCAGTCTGTGAAAAATCTGGAATCAAGTGAAATTTCCAAGTCATCAAATGACAATGTTCTTAACACCGCAAATGAGGCAAGTCAACGAATCAGCCAGCCTGCAAAGAGTCCTCATTCAAGTCACTCTTTGAAAAAGAGTTCATCTGATACCACTGTTGGGGCAAAACCAACGACGAGCGGGCATTCAAAGAGGCCAACATCAAGTCCTACGACAGGGAACAAGCAACAGCCGACTAAAAGCTGCCAGCCTGAACGACCCAGTTCAAGTTCTTCAATAAAAGAAAATCTGCCTGTTATAAAGAACAAAGTGAGGGCAACTCAAAAATGTTCCCAGCGTACAGTGCGGCCCAAATCGGGCCCATCTAACGTCAAGAACAGCGCAGAGACAAAGCAAACGGGCCGAGAGCCTAAAAGACGGCCGCGATCAAGTCCAACTTCTAAAGGTAAACAGATTGAGGCCAACAATGAGGAGATCAAACGGCCCATATCAAGTCATTTGGCAAAGGAGGATATGCCCAGGACAACCAACACAGAAAAACGAAAGAGCTCTCAGTCTCTTAAGAGCCCTGTGTCACGTCCTGCTTCTGCAGAGGGCAACTCAGCCAAGATCGTTGAGACCTCTGAAATCAGGCAGCACGCAGCTCAGGAAAGAAAGGCCGACCCTACCGACCAGCCCATAGTCACTGGAGAGATTAAGAAGGTTCTTGAGGATGAAGACTCCCCCAAGAGAGAAGTTGTTGAGGATAAGTTTCAGTCAAGATCTCTGGTAATTGAATATTGTACAGTTGCTTTAATTTATAATAACTATAAACAAGAAAACAAATGGAACATTTTCTAGTTACTTCAGTTACGAATTGTGAAGCTCAAAAAACAAGAATCCCTTGTGAGGGTGGGGGCAGGTTTTGTTTGCGTGTCTTTGCATCATAAATTAAACCACTGTCAACTTTAGATCAGCTCTACAGCCACAATCAATAGTGGAGCACTTTTTGCCATACGCTCTCCCATTGACGAATATCAGTCGAATAGCTCCATAGAAGTTGTAGTACCTACAACTGAAGCACATTCGCTGATTGTGATCATTGTAAGCGAACTGACAAAAAATGCGCTTATTTCTTTTAACAGGAGTCGTCCTCCTCGGATGCGGAGCTAGACTATTTTGTAGCTGACATTATCCAGTCACAGCTAAACCTCGTTCAAAAGGAGACATCTCCAGAGAAGAGTCCTAAAGTTCTCAACTCACAGTCTGTTACCATGAGCTCACCCACTGAAAGGACAGGTAACTACATGGACATTTCTACGGCTATCATACTTTTATCAGTATTTATCCCTGTTCAAAACCAGGATTTGGCAGGAAAGGCCCCCATGTTTATCATAAATGGGACCAAAAATAAAGAATGCAAGAGATAGCATCCCTTTTCTAATTAATACACATATACCCTTAATATAAACAATGCTAATTGAGAGATTTTCTCAAATTTAAAAATTGGTTAGGGACCATTTGTTTTGAACTTTTAGAAGAAATTTGCCATGAACTTTTTTGGAGGAAGAATGACTTTCCAGTTCAGTTATTGTTTTGGTTGGTTCTTATTTGTGAAACAAATCTTCATTTACAGGTTTTGAGCAAGGCGCGTTATTCGTGGGCACTTCAAAAGACGCTGTCATTGAGAAAGACGGTAGTGGCTGTCGTCAGGAATCAAACAGCTCCATAGAAGGTTCTAACATTGGTGAAGCGGAAATAGCGGCCAACTTCTCCAAAATCAGTCAATCTCCTTCATCTCCGACTGTTACAAAGGTGAACGAGAAAGCCGAAGAGAACGGCAGTACATCAACCACTGCAGGTGGTGTTCTGACCATCTTTCCAGAAGAGAATGCTCATATCGATTCTATGGAGCCCATGGGAGTGTCTAAGCCTATTCAAGATGGTCCGTCTTCGACAGACGTTAACACTCTAGTGCATTTTGACTGCGCCGATGGAAAGAAGAATCCTGGGAGCTTGAGATCGTCTCCAGGTGCGACAAAATCTCAAGAAAAGATTGATTTGGCTGTTGAGCGTAAGAGTAGCAAGACGTCCACAGATGGAACAAAATCATCTCGTACCCCGACAGCTTCTAGGTCGAGTGCAAAGATTAGCAACTTGTCAGCCGAGGATTCGGTAGATGGTTTATTTCCTTCACAGACTACATGCTCAAACAGCAGGCCTTGCAGTAGTCGTTCCACTACAGATACCTCTATGAGATTGAACCATCGGAAATCAGGTCAGAGGCCCTTGTCTGCTGCAAAAGTGCCAGAAAAATCAAAGTCGAGTCAGAACAAGACACATTCAAGCGCGAGGTCATTTTCTGATCCAAAGCTGTCTGATGTAACAAAGTCACTAACACCAAGCAGAAAATCATATCATGGTGAGTCATCCAGAGTGCAAAGTGCAGACAAAAAACGACAACTGACGCCGACGAATATAAGGGGCGAGTTGAAATATGACCAGGTTGGAAAAATGAGCGGCTCTCAAGAAATGAGCGGACGAAGCTCCTCAGCCACCTTGTCAAAGCGGTCAGTGAGCCGCAACTCCTCCAAATCTGCAGGAACGACATCCCCGACATCCACTGCAGTTGTGAAGAAAGAACTGGATAAGTCTAAGTCTGATGACAAAAAACACCAAACGCCTTGTGAACAGAAAGGTGTGGTCAAGGCACAATCTTCCTGTTATGAACGAGCAGAAAAGGCCAAATCAAATGATAAAGGGAGGATTGATGGGCAACATAGCCAGAATAGCCTATCCACAAGCAGTCTGCCTATAACAGAGGATTTGGAAAAACGTCCAAAAAGCGGAAGATCAATCAGCATGGGGAGTAATGCGTCTATTGTCAAGTCGGAGGAGCGCTTGAGTAACCCTCGAAATTCATCTTTAAAGAGTTCACTAAATGGCAAAGGCACCTCTCCTTCACAAAAGACACGTGCGCGTTCTGCAAAAGAGAACTCTGGAAGTGCTCGCAGCCTAAGAGAGGCACCAGGAGAATTTGAGGTGCTGGGTTCTTCGAAAACATTGCAGTTTTCCTCTCCTTCGTACCCAGAGGTGCGATCAAGGAACTCACGAAGTAAAACCTCTCTGAACAAGATGGAAGTGTTAAACAATGATAATGAACTAAAGAAGGAGACTTCGCTTAACCCATCCTCGGGGAAGCTACGCAAATGTTCACCCACTTAAGGTAGAATTGCTGTAGTTCACTGGTATTGTAAATAGTTTTACGCGTATTTCAGAGACTTTCACGCATCAACGGGTTTTGTTTTGAAAATTTCAGAGTTTGTTTTGTATATAAGTCACTTTCAAAATAAAATGTTTGAAAGCAGTCACATTGTTTCATTTTTAGTCGAATCCGAGTTTCTACATAGACGTTTTTCCCTTAATAAAGCACCTTATACAAGACAGCCCTGAATGAAGTATTTTGCAAAAAAATATTTTTTGCCAAATACCTTATTCAGGGTACCTAATTTCGCGGGTACTTAAATTCGCGATTTTGGCGAGACAGAATTTCACGGGTTTTACTTTCTCGATTTCAATAGGCAAGTATGAAATAGGGCATTAAATTTCGCGATTCACCCGTTCTCAATTTCATTATGTTTTTCAAGAAGAGACTAAAACGTCTGAACTATCAGGGTGAACTATTAAAACAAAATTTCTAGATAATGGATTTCCACGGATCTATAGACTCAGATCAAGATGTGGGTCCTACTTAATACGGTTGACAGTTATTACTGCAAAAAGCCGAACCCTAAATATATATTTTAATCTTTCAGTTCCAATGATAGAACAGAGGTTAGCCTACGTTCTACTTATTTTCGGGTGCCATTGATGTTTTTACCGGTCTGTCCCTACTATCCGACAGCCTAGAACAGGGGCTAATCGGAGGTAGAAAAGAGGGGAACCTGACTGGAAAGTGGAAACGGGTTTTTCCCCGCTGAATGCCTTCGAGAACACAGTCGCACAAAAGCTACTTTAAATAAGCATATGTTTCATTTGTGGCTCTCAGAGTTGTTATGGAATAAATTGTGGTATAAATTTCTTGATGAACAAACCAATTTGCCAAACTGATGGAAGCACAAGACGGCGATGATGGTGTCACCATTGGCAAATTTTGCTCCTATCTGAGAGAGCCATAACGCCTAGCTCAGTTACTGCAATCCATTTCAGAAAACCCTTTCCGTACGTCATGTCATTCGATTTGCGGGATCTTTGGGGCCTGTCTACTGCACAGAAATAACGACCAGACGCTAATTTAAGTTTAACGGACGGAGACACTGAAAGGGAAATCTCTTCCAAGTTTCTTCTCCGGTTGGAGCCTGTTCGCAGTGTTGGCCGGTATGGACGGACCATTAAAAGGGTGATGGTAGGGGTGGGGAGAAAACTGAAATTCAGGCAGGGGAAAATGTTCCCCCAACAAATTCATGCAAAGGATGGGCCAGCTTTGTCACATTAAAACCGGAGTGCAACTCTGCCAGAGTTCTCAGCCTGTTTTGATATTTGATATGTTTCTTTCGGTGGGACGGGGTAAAAGCACAGCTTGAAGTAGAAAAAAGAGGTTTAGAAACTGATTAATAACTTTGAAGAAAAATAAAGTATATAAAGATATGTGACTTCATATTTTTTTTATAAACAAGGCTAATTTCTTTAACTCCGATATTCTCGAAGAAGGTAATAAAAAATACACAGATGTTTTGGAACAGATCTACATCATACTTTCTTGAAGCCGTTCAGTAGCAGTTTGCGATGCTTTTTAAGTCCACAATAGTCTCGGCTAGAGACAGACACGATTTTAAACTTTAGCGAACATAACTCAGGAATTCAGTCTTTGATTCCACTTAGCAGATATGGAACAGTCCTTGAGGTTGCAGAAACAGTTTGCTCTTTAGTTTTTCCCTTGCTAAACCTTTCACGTATTGATCAAAAATGCATGCTACACAGGCCAACTGCATTCATATGGCTTATCTTTGAAATGACCCATTGTGACTCAACATATTGTCCTAGCACAAGCAAGGAGTTTGAAATTTGGTTAAGAAGGAAAAGAACGAGACGAGGGGTCATGCACAAAAATTAAACCTGTCTTTTCTTTATCCTAATCCCTTTTTATAAAACCCTGCCATTAACAAATGAAAGGGATAACATCGCTTTGATCGGAACAGCAGGATATAACATTACATGTGAATGTATGCTTCCAAAGCAAGACATCAAACCCCCTGTTCCTTCCAGACCTGGCAGGTTATACAAACTGCAATTAGATTACTACAAGCTTATTTATATAAAAGAGGAAAAACATCCATTTACATACACCAGATTACAAATTACTGGTATTTACTTTGAGAAACAGCAATTTTTTTTTTTTTTTTAATAACACCGTCATTTTATTTCACTGGGGGATTCATTCATATGTCACATCCATGATTCATTGTACTGATTCTTACAAATTAATGTCCATCACTTTTTGGAAACATTGTAGATTCTCTTCTATTTCCTTGAAAACAAGAACAGTCAGAGCATGGAGTGCTGAGGGTGGGTTCAGTGATTACCAAGCCACTTCATAACAGCGTTTCTGTTTCAACAGGGTATATAATAACAAAGAAATTGATGGTACAAGCATCTCCTGCTCTAGTTTTCATGTTGAATGCAATAAATACTTGAATTAGTACCCAGAAGCGAAGAAATATTTAATCAAGAGAGGAGGGGTCACCTTTTTTGTTCTTCAGAATTTTGGGCTACAAATGACATTGCTTTGTAATAAACTGTAAGGGTCGGTCATTTTAACAAAGTCTAACTTAGCTGCAGTTTAATAGATCTTTGGACCTTGAGATCTCTTTTATTTCAAGCCCATTTGAGGGGGACTTACTTGAGAGGGGGCTTTTTTAATTTAGAAAAGATGATGGTACTAGTTCTCCACAAAGAACTAGAATACAAAGTGAAAAAGCTCAATTACAAGAAGGTTGGAGGTCATGCAGCCAAGGATCAGAATCAAATCTGAACTTCCAATTGGTAAATAAACCATCCCAGATCAGTCCACATGAAGACTGATTAATACATTCTATCAATTATTAGTAAAGAATAATTAGGGGGGGGGGGGGCTTACTAACTTTCTTCCCCTGAAAAGGGGGCTTATTAGGGGAGGCCAGGGGGGGGGGCTTATTTGAGAGCAGGGGTTTAACAGAGGATTTACGGTAACCGGCCCTAACAGTTTTACAGGAAAACTAGAATAAATCTTACAACATCTGACAGAGTCATTATGCTAAATTCATTGAGAAATAGACAAACAGAATACTATATATTCAGTACAGAGAGGTGGGGTAGGGACTGTGTATTCAAAGGAGGATGCGTATCTAATAGTTTTGGCATCAACAGGGGCAGCCACAATAGACATTTTTAGCTTTATGTTTTGTATTCCCATTTCAGACCACGTGATGGTACCACAGAGAACTGCTTTTTTCAAATGTCATTCTGTGCATACGCATCCGCATGCATAAGTATGCATAATTTATGAGAAGACAAAAGGCAAATTCCCTGTAGAACATCACATGGTCAGAATTGCGAAAACAAACCATACAAGCTAAAAAAAAAATCTGTTGGAAGGGCAGAGGGCAGTTTATTAGATGCTGGTACTAATATTCGACTGTTTATGGTACATGCCACCCATCTGGGCACTTCCAGCCCTACTTGTCTCTAGAAGCATCTGATCTTCCACCTTCTCCATACTTTCTAGCATATCTACAGTCACTAGTCATCCCTAAACAAGCGTGAGAACTTTGTGAGACCATTTGGAAGAGGTGCGGAAACTTCACAGACCTTCACACCTGAACTTGGCATAGTTTCAACAAGGAGAGAAACTGGAATCCAAATTGTACTATTGTTGTTTACTTTGTGAAATCCCACAGTAACTAAACCAGAGGATTCTGAGCCCTCAATATATACTGTTACATTCCATTCATCCCTACTGTATTTAAGTACATTGCTGTTGTAATTGTCTTCTGGGCCTCCATTAGTTAGTAACTCATCTTTGCTGTTATTGCTCTTCTCAGGCGGTGAGCCATATTGCACTTTATAACCTGTAATATTTACATTCTTGCCAAACTTTTTCAAGAAGGCATTTTCGCTTTTCAGTTTCGACCATACTACAGACAAAGCAGTTAACTTGTGCGTCACTTCCTCGGACACTTCCCTCATGGCTTGGGGTCTTCCTTTCTCGGTAAAATCCTGGGTAAATTCCTTATCGTCCAACTGGAATATGGCAGCCATCAAAGCCGGATCGTGATCAGAAGACACTTCATCACTACTTATCTGCAAATGCCCTGTTCCCAAACCGAGTACAATGATACACCAAAACAATACTCCCGTACCAGTGAAAACAAATTTTAAAACCCGCCACGCAGTTGAAACTGGTGATGATTTTCCCGATGTTTTAGAGGAGAACTGCCTGACGAGTCGGAGTGACCAGGATCGTGATGGTCTGCATGAACAGGAGTTCTGCCTCACGAGCGTTTTTGTCACAGCAGTTCGGAGAGGGCCATTTCTTGGATACAGACTTGATCTAATACTAGCCAACGCACGCAGGGATGTAATCCTCGGATGAAACAAGAAGAATGACATACTAGAATGGACCTCAAAGCCTTCTTTCAGTGTGAAAGTACTCCTTCCGTGTCCTATCGCTCTTCAATAATTAACCAGCGGTATAATTGTCTTGTTAATACGCTAAGTACCAGTAATAGAGTGTCCTGTGCACATGATGAGGGTGAATCGTAACGCTCTCTCACGTGGTTTCAGAATCTGTGACCAGCTGGCCACAACCACAGACACCCAGCAGTGATTAATACTGTATCGTGAAATCCCAGTCTGAAACTTTGAACTGTTACTTGTAGTCAGTGGGGCACCATTGAAAATGTCAATGAACTAAATTTCGAGGTGGCTGGCTAATCTGCAAGATATGTAGTCTCAAAAATAGCCAGCGAACAAGCTCTTTTGGGGTTCCTGGCGCCCCGGGAAAGTTTGCTTGCAAAAAGTGCATGTTTAGATCTGGTATGCCATAAAAGCTGGGGGCATTGTGAGAGGCAAATTGCATCTGAAACTTCAAGTTACCTATATACATGAGTAAAAAAAGATAAAAGTCCGCCAAAGGCACTTGTTAAGTCAGTGTTTTAACAATTGGTGGAATTTACAAGGACATACATTACTAGCTGCTAGGCCAATTTACGGCTCGTGACTTTAAAAAGGAACTCGACAAAAATTGAAAGCAGTAACATAAACAGATGTATTGAAGCATAGCTCAATGTTTTGATATATTCCTGTTACAAAGCTCACAACTTGAGACCATTTGTACGATTTAGATGAGTCGTCAGGGGTTATTTGTCGTCAAAGATCTGTTCTGGGTCGGTTCCAACTGATAAATCGAACTAAAAGTCTGAAAAGTAACGTATTTAGGTAAATTACCTAAGAGTACAAACGTATATGACATAAATCGATAATTCTGAAATAGCGAAAGGGAACTAGATTACACTAGAAAATAAATAAAGTAGCCAGGAGAGTAACTGCAATTGACGACCAAGACTAAGCAAAAAGTTTATCTTAAGGCGAAATCAATCCTTTAGGCCGGTTTACACGCGCACCAAGGTTATCAGTCCTGACGAAAAAGCTAAGCTGGTTTGAAGATGAGCACGATTGAAGATTCAGGGGCGTAGCGTACGTCCTTTTCCGCAAATACGCACGTGCGTCTTTGAGAAATTGGTAGGGCTTTTTAAAAGGTTTTTTGTTATAAGTAAAAGCCATTTGTAGTGTCGTGACTCGTCCTTTTTTAGTGCAGAACAGTGTTCCTGTCTGTCTCGCTGTTTTTCCGCATCGTTTTTACATGAATAAAAGAACAGTTTGAGTAGTGGAATGTGATAAATTTGAAACAGTCTTGAAATGTTTGCTTTCCGGCGATCCCACAACACATTTCGTATTGAAGAAAAACGGAGGGGGGCTGGGGAAATTCTAGTCTGTTTTTTGTGTGACATCCAAAAACGGCTGCGAGGGGTACTAGGAAAATTCATGTAAACACACTTTTCAGCGTACAACAAAAGTGCGAGGCCACAAACAATCGATCCTGACTAATTATCATTCCTTTCAAAATTTATGTGGAAAGTTTTCCCATTCAAAGGCTATTCTTTTTTTAGTTTTCCCTTTACATATAAATGTTGAAAAAGTCTATAAATCAAAGAGTACTTTAATGTCACTCAACTGGGAAACTGCCTTCAAGCAAGAGATTACAAGATGGAGTCACCGCTAGTCAATCAGGCCACCTGATGATCCCCTTTCAAAGACTCTTGCGGCAACACTTTATCAAACCAATGCCGCTTTTTATCTAGTAAGAGACTTCTTCCTTACTCTATTTCGGCGTGCGTTTCTGAGCGCAGTTTCAGTTCGATGATTTCACTGGGTAATACGATGACAGATAAGCGACTTGCATCCTTGGCGATTTTACATTATACATAAACACAAAGATGTTAATGTGGATAACGTCTCTAAATTTGCGCAACAAAAAGAGAGGCGCCTCGCCTTGTGCTTGTAAACATTCCAGTACCAGCTCAAAGAAGAATGGTGTTAAAAGCTCTTTTTGATATCACTTTATATTGTAAACAAGCCTGTAAACTGCCGAAATATGTATTAAAGGAGAGCAAAAACTTTATTTTGTACGAAGTTTTTGACGCCATATGGACCTGTATGGGTACTTTCCAAATAGTCACGCTACGCCCCTGCAAATACGGACCCAATAAGTAATGATTCAGGCCAGTCGTTAACACCAGGAAGCCTACGTCAAAAAACCCCTAAATTTATAAATATGAACGTGCTCGAAACGATCTAGAAATTAAAAAATTATTACGTATTTTCCATACGGGCACTGAAAGGGCTGGAAAGTCAATAAAAATCTTATGTATGAAAGCGATGAAACAAGCGCGTGTTGCGCATGGCGTTCATCATCATCATCTTTATCTATACCAGGATCTATAAACGGTTATCTCCCATGGAGACATCATATTTAATACAAAAAACTCTATGGAAGGTTAACCCAAACACCAAAACTATCTGAAAGTATCAGAGACACACGTTTGAGAATCACAGAGGGTACTGTTGCCAGCATTCTGGCTGAGGACGAGGCATCCAAATTTGTGCAGTGGCAGCCAGCAGGGACCCCAAGTCGAACCCCGTGCTTGCTCTTGTCTGGAATCAAAACTGGGCAAGACAAGTTAACATGGCCGGAACTTTTTAGCTCGGCTCGGGATAATATTCAGCCTAGATAGATACGTATTTCAGGATAGTAGTAGCAAAGCTAGTTAACCACACTCTCCGTCTTTGACTTATTTTTCTTCGCGTTTTCGTTCCCCACAACGAACGAGAAAACTTCCAGTGGAGGGTGCTCAGAGAGCGGTCTAGAGAGCGCAAATGATGGGAGGACTGGGAACGAGATCTCATCCCCAGGGTCTCCTCGTTTTTGGTGTTGGCATTGTTTGTTTGTCCACCGATCGGTCTACAGATCGTTGAAAAAGTGCTCATCATGGCGGCGATCGCTGAAATTTCAAGTCTCCAAGAATGGGAGGAGGAATGGAAAGCCTTGGAGGAAGATACGAAAAAGTTCAAGGTTCTAATTTTATATCTAAAATGAGCAGTTTTAATCAGAAATCGTGCATTACGATAGTGGAACTGTGTAAATTATTCATGGTCCTCGATCTCTAATAGAATCACTGAACCAATTGGTCATGCCTGAACAGGGTTGCTCGCGTTTATATCCGTTTAGGATTATCCCAATATGGAATTTGAAACAGTCCTGCTCTTAGATTTTAAATACGTTTCCGAAGAAATAAGCCTCCCTCAACTTGGTTCATTACCTTGAAAAACGCGTCAGATCAGGAAACAAAGCTAAAAGTTGAAACTCAATGTAACCATTTTTAGCCAAGTCACTTTGATCTTGATCTTGGAGATCAAAATCCATGGGAACGAAAGTGGTGATATTAAAAGTTACCTTAGTTGCCGGGGATAAAAAAATCCTCATTTTTGCCGATATTGGTTCAATTTACAATAGTGTGGCATGTTTAAAAAGCTTGCTTCTGACAATTAAATTACAGATCAAAATTTCATGAAAATGTTAAAATTCTATACTTATTACTTGGAAAGGGAGCTTTAAATTTTATTGGAATTCGCATCACTCGTAGAACTCATGGATCTGTAGCAAGGTAGAAGCCTGAGGTGGCGTGGTGTCCACAGTTACCATAGCAACAAAACCTGCAGTATTAAAACAAAGCCATGACAAATTAAGTTCGGTTGTTTTTGTGGACGGATTTCCATCACGATCCACATTCCCTTAGTCAGTGAACATGTAAAAGCAGTTAACTGGACTGCCACTGCCGCCTGCTGTCCATATGTCACTGGATAATAAGTTTAGTAAAATGGCTGCTTTATTCTAAACTGGCTTGTTTGGGATTTGTGGATTAGAGAATGAAGTATATTACATGTCTAAGGTGTGCTAGTTTCGCTTCGGTGCTTAAGGAACAAAGTTCATGTTTATAAAAAAATATGGTGTACAGATGATATTAAAATATGTAAATTATAGACTACTGCAGGACTGCAGTGCTGGGCGAGGAGTATATTATAGAAGTTATGATGCTGATAAAAATTACTGGAGGAAGTGTCAAATTTATCTAAATCAAGTCTATTCAAGAGAGCTTTATTAATATAAGGTGACATACCTGAATGAACAGATTCACACTTCATAACAGTGATAACATTTAACTTTGTCTATTATGATCAGTCATCACCTTAAATTCAAACTTAAAATTCAAACGACCGTAAGAAACAATAATTTACATCTATTGCTGAAAGCTCTGTACCTTGAAGCAACCTTAACTTTCCTTAGGTTTGCAACAAAACACTACTCGATATCTTATTAAACTCTTTGGCGGTTGTTTCATCTATAGGCAGGTATATGTTGCATATTCTAAACTCTTTGTAGGAAAATTGTTTAAAGGAAAAAGTAAAACACACACCGTGTCTGAAAAGCAACATAAAATCAATAAAGTTGCAAATTACCAAAATATAATACTGAGAAACAATCCTGCCTTTTGATCCTTCTCAAAACAGTTAATCTTTGGTTTATGAGGTAATGCACATGATAGTACACAAATCCACTGGCAAGACTCTTGATGATCGCTTTGTAAGCTGTGAGAACATTGGTTTGATTTCATTTAAGAGAATCTACCCCCCCCCCCCCCCCGGGACGGGATCTTAGTCTGTCGCCCAAAATTTTTTTTCTTTTCAACATATAGTTTTTTCCTTCCTGTAAGAGTCACAATACTATTTGTTGTGTTGTACATCGCATCAGAAAACACAAATTCAATCACGCGTGAAGGTTTTGTTTTATGCCTGGGGATGGTTTCTAAAACATTGGTTTTTGTTTATTTAGATGGACTGTCCCCCCCCCCCCCCCCCCCGGGACAGGTATTCTGTAGTTTAGCCTAATATTTTTTTACTTATCAGATACATGTATATTCCTTGCCTTGAAGTGTTTTTTTTTCTTTTTCGTTATTCTTAAGTACAGGGAAAATGGTTTGTCACCCTCTCCC